CTTCCCTTTTTGGAGAGTTTTTTGCTATGCTGCAGGAATTATGTGAAGGCAAAAGAAAGAATACACGGGAGGCATTTTTGTTGCCTTGGCAATGAAGTGCTTCAAAACTCTCAGGGATTGCTTTTTGTTGCCAGTATATAGTCCCTGACTTTTCTTGAACTCACGCAAAATCCACAAATGGGCCATCTGCCTTTATCCTATTATTGTTGATGATTTAATAAGGGATTATTACTAATTTTACTGGAAAGGAGACTCTAATGACCACATTTTTCTCTCCAGTACTCACACAGACTGCCAGGAAAAGAAAAACAAAAAGTACCAGTTGTGGTTTTAAAGGTTTATCCCCTCCCTACGAAGTCCTTCTCTTTTCTCCCAGTAACCCATTCTCCAGTCCCAGAAGCCAAAAAATAAAAAAAAGACCATGAGTCTTACTTTCCCAGCCTAAAATACACACTTTTGGAAAACAGATTGGAAAATCTTTCCGGTAAAAAGTTTGCTGAAACTCCAAACCAACAAGCCATATTGTTTATGTTGCTCATGAAGAATTTTTAAAATCTATTCTAGATAAAGAACAGCCTCAATTTTTTAAACAGCATACATGCAGGACAAGGATCGCCAGTGACGGTTCCTCTTTGTGATGAAATGCAATTTTCTCATTTTCACGTAACCATTTTGGTCTAAAGCTTGACTGATTAAAATACCTCATTGTACAACAGAGAATAAACCACTCATATTTTTATAAATCATATGTACCAAATCTGTTTAGGAAATCCTATCTACTAGATAAGCAATATGCTGGACTAAAGCAATAATTCTTTTGTTGAAAATGTCTGTGCTGACTTCAACGACCTAGAATACTTTGTTGTATCTTGTCTGTATAGCCCAACCACACTGGCTCTCTTTTAGTTTCTTTTCCGAGTCAAACTTCTTCCAGGCTCAGGGCCAAATATTTTGGGACTTCTCCTAAGAATTCTCTTTCCTCAATTCTTTAGCCATATGACTTAGTTTACCCAATTCCTCGGATGCTGGCATAAAAGACTCTCCTTACAGAAGCCTATTATGACACTGCCTCTTCTCCGAGACACACCCAAGCACACATGCAGACCAGGTCAGAACCCCCTGTCATTCTCCTCCTGCTCTTCCCCCCATCAAGTTTGCCTCCATTGTAATGTTTTTATTATTTCTGTGCACGTCTGCCCAAGTCAGTTTCCTCACTAGGCCATTCACTCCATAAAGCTAGGCATTGTTTCAGTCTTGATCATCACCTACTGCAGTAGGCACACAGTCAACATGCAATAGGTATTTGTGGAATGAATGAATTTGCTGGGAGGGTCTGGGAGAACCCAGGTGAGAAGAGCTTTAGGAAGCAGGTCAAGGTCAAACCTGAGGATGGACTGACTTAAAGCTCCTCAAGAAAGGGTGGCCTGCAAATAAGGATCCAAGTTATAGTCCAGAAAAATAGCCAAGGCTATAGCCAAGACAAGAGCATTCTCATCAACTGTAAAAAAAAAAAAAAAAAGTTCATGCGATGAGTCAAGGCAAGTGGTTTAGGGCTGAAACTAAACAGTGTGAGGGGCTTAGAGGACCGACTTTATGTAACCCAGGGTCCAGCCTTAGAGTTGAAAGGAGTCTTGAGCCCTAACACCATCCCTTATTAGCTACAAGAACTAGAAGAAAATCATTTTCTCTCTCTGAGCCTCGATGACTTGACCTGTAAAATGGGAATAGAACCCCTACGTCTACAATAGGGTAGTGTAGTATGAAAGAATATTATGTATATGAAGGTACATGTCATGCTTCTTCCAAGTTCTCCTACTCAGTTTTTCCAAAAAGCTTCTACTCAGAAATGTAGAAGCTTTTCTACAGAGTAGAAGCTCTACTTCCAGAGTAGAGTGGAAGCTCTGCTTTTTCTTTGTGTTTTTCTCAAGGCATGCTTGATTTGCTGTTAGATGTGGCTGCCTTATGCACGCTCCATAGACTGGAAGCTGCTTGAAGGGAAGAAACATGTCTCACTCACCATAAATCTGTTGGACCCTTGGCGGCCCACAGGTTGAGCTGGGGATTAAAAATGCCTGGCCTTCAGGGGTCTGATGCATGAAAGAGGACTGTTGGATTATAAATCAGTTACCAGGCTACATGCCATCCCTCCACACGGATCCACTCCTTGGAAGCTATCTGACTTTATTCATCTACACAGCACAAAAGAGACGCTTGATAAATACTGAATAAACGGACGGATGAATGAATGAATGAATGCATTTGTCTTTGGTGAGGCATCGCAAGAAAGAAAAAGAAATTTAACTTTGTCTTCTAGACTTTGAATGCCTCTGCCAACAACTAAATATCTTCCAGGGAGGGCAGATGGCGGCCTGTACAATGAACAATTTAATCTTCAGAAAATGGAACAACTTTGCCAGCAAACTCCATTTTTCTCTACGAACACATTGTCAATAACATGTGCTCTCAAATATGTAGTGAAATTGATGACTGGGCCCTGATTTATGGAAACAACAACAAATTAAATGATTACCTTTCTTTTTCCTAGCTCAGGGTCCTTCAGACCAGCCATGATTTTTTTCCCTGTGCTCTAATAATAGAGGGGGTCTAATTAAAATACCTCATTGTGTGATTACGTGCGAGGAGTGGAGGAAAGAGAGCGGAATGTTCAGAGTATCTTAATTTAAAACTAGGAAGAGAAAAACCACTTATGTGATAATGAAGATTAACTTAGGAAGATTCACTTTCATTCCCCACATAAAAGCAAGTATTGAGGAAATCCTTCCTACAAACCCTTTTGTGGCCACTTATTTGGCCCCTTGTAGAAAACTTTTTTGGTTTTGGATAGACTTAAGGTTTTGGATTTGGGTGAGACTAGACCAGGGTCAGGGAGGGGTACTCAGAGAAATGGAATTCTCTAGACAGTAACCATGCTAGATATTTAGAACTATTCCTAAGAATTACAGCCTCTTTTGGAAGGAGTTCCTATCCTAAGACCTCTCCTTCTAGAATGGTGGTTCTGAGCTTGTATTTGGGTCAAGAACTTGTCTGAGAATCTGATGAGAGCTACAGATTCTCTCTCCAGGAAAAATAAGTGTGTATTTACAACTTCATAATCACACGTATACAGAAATACAAAATTGTGCTTAGTATCATCTCGTCTTTGCCATAAACTTGAACAACTTGAGTGACAAATGCTACTCTGCATTCCAGGCTTCACTAACCTGTCTGTGACACTCATCCAAGATTAAGACCTGCTTGACTTAGAGGACCCTTGGTTTCCTTGGGCCATGAAAGTTCTTCACCGTCTAAGGCTGTGGATCTTTCCAACCATCTGGTGAAGCCCATGGAGCCCTTCTCAAAACTCATGTTTTTAAAGACATGAAATAAAATACTTAGGGGCTGAAAAAAAATTATTGAAATGCAGTTATCAAATATTAAAGAAACCAATTTGTGATATAAAAATATATGAACTTCTTTATACACATTAAATAGCATGACCAGCACTACAGCTAATCACTGCTGTAATTTCAAAGTAATGATGAGCACACATAATCTTGCAAGATATATGCAACAACTATAATGTGACATTAAATATCTGTGACATTTAGGTTAAAATATTGGTGATAAAAATCACAATACCGCTACTACTATTGTGATTTGGTGTCTACATTCATAATTGAAGGAAACGCTGAATTTCAGTTAGAGGTTAATGCAATCAAATTAGATGCAATTTTCATTCCCACCCAAGTTCATGGATCCCCTGAATTCTGTGATGGATGCCAAGTGAAGGTTCCCTGCTAGGAGTTTCTCACAGTGTGGAAATGACCTTATGTGTGTTTGGCTTCCCCTCTCACTTCACCCTCAAGCCTGCTTCACTTCATCTTACTATTTACTGAAACAGCTCCTAACTTAAAGGGCATTAATATGAATAGGGCATATATTGACTCTGACGGTACAAATTAAACATCCGCCATGCCTATGGTGCAAAGGTAGTTAAGGACAAAAGAAGAAAGGGCTGTTTGGTGAAAACTTATTTGGCTGGAACATAAGCCAAAGAAAGCCATCCTGTTTCAGATTGAATATCCAACACCTAGCCCAGCATTGAGTGCCGGAAAATCTCTGGACACATAATTACTCAATTAAGGAATAAATATCAACAGTCAGTTAGCAAAGAGTAAGATAGACCATTCTCAAGTGTTTAATCCAAGGGCCTAACCGTGGGTGGATGTCTCTGCCTGGAGACGTTTCGAGGAGAAGGAACCCATGGCTAGCTAGAGAGAAGTCACTCCCATAGGTGTTGCACAGGTATTGGAAAAGAGCTATTTCCAAAGGCAGCAGGGGATGGAAACTGAAAACTTTTTCTGCAAAGGGCCAGACAGTTTCATACAGTGCAGACCATCCAGTCTCTGTCACAACTACTCAACTCCGCTGTTGTGGCATGAAGGCAGCCATGGATGTAAACAAATGCGCATGGCTGTGTGCCAATAAAACTTTATTAACAAACACTGACATTGAAATTTCATATCATTTTCACATGTCATGAAATATTATCCTTCTTTTGATTTTTTTCAACCCTTTAAAAATATAGAAACCCTTCTGAGCTCAGAGGCCATATAAAAATAGGCAACAGGTCAGATTTGACCCAAGGGGCATAGTTTGCCAACCTATACAATGGAGGTCACAGCTCTGGGTTGTTGGTGGGTTGGTTTGGACCAGTCTGGGCTGAGGCCCCCTCAGCGCTGGCTTTGATAATATTCCCTTCCATGGCCCGAACCCTTCCAACCACCTTTGGGGATTGGTACCTGTGGATGCTTTACCTGGGCATGCATTCCTCCAGGTCCCCACGTGCCTGTCCCTTTCTCATCTTTGAGGTCTTTATTCAAATGTCACCTCCTCAGAGAGGCCTCCTCCGGCCCCTTCTCCAACAGCCTTACTGATATTCACACCTGCACCACTCACTCCCCCCTGCCTGCTTTATGATCTTCACGCACTCACCTTACCTGGCACGGTCTTGACAACTCATTCGCATGCTGTCTTCTTGCCCTCTGGAATGCAGACTCCCTGGGGGCCGCGGTGCTGTCTCGTCCCCTGTGTCAAAACAGCAGAAAGTAGCAGGCATGAAGCAAATGCTTCCCCGATACTTGCTGAAAGAATTGAAGTGCTTACTGGTAAGGCAAGAGCAAAAAATGCACAGCAAAAAATTTTGCTACCTCCCCTGGCCTAGAGGTCATCAGCCATTATTATTATCACATAAAATTATAATGATAATTTTAGTAGTAACTGAATATGGTTTTCAAATAAAATTTCATGTGAAGCCCAATATATGAGAGATGAAAATGAAGTTGTTTTGCTTCAAGTGAAGGTAGAAAGTCCCAAAAAGACTCTCTCAGTTACACACCCCTGACCACTTCTGGAGATTTCCGCATCCTCTTCCCTTCTGAGGAGCTCTTTAAAAGTCCTTCTCTTGGTCTAAAAGTAATATTAGTTATTTCAACATTGCTAGGGAGCCAGTTTCTGCCTTTGGGATGTAAGTGAAAGAGTTGAGGAGTCAACAATTTGTAACAAACTCTTTTCGAACTGCCCAGGGGATAGCCCTCCCCAAACACATGTGTTGACCCTATTCAAAATGAAAGTCCAAGAGACAGCTGTGGAGCCACATGGGCCACCAAACTGCTTCATGATTTTGTGGAATCGTGCAGAGCCTCGATTTACTTTCTTGTCGTAAATGTCCTCAGTAACGCCTGCAGGCCCTTTCCTGCTCACAGAACAGGCAGGAGGGACACGGGAGGAGAGAGATGTGAAGACACTCTCCAGAATGCGGATGAACTCGCTCAAGGCCAGTGCGGCCAGTTCCAGGCTTTGGACACTGGCTGTCCCTTCCTGGCTGCAGCAGCCAGCTCCGGCTGCTCTAACAACACCCCACAGACTGGGCGGCTTAAACAGCAGCAGTCTATCCTCTTACAGTTCTGGAGGCTGGAAGTCCAAGATGAGGGTGGGGGAAGCGCTGGTTTCCTCTGAGGCCTTTCTCCTTGGCTCGCACACGGCCACCCTCTCGCTGCCTTTTCAAGTCGCCGTCCTCCTGCGCATGCGCACCCCGGCGTCTCTCTGCGCGCTCAGGCTCACGGTCTTATGAGAAATAAGACAGCCAATCCACCAGAGTGGGTTGGGGCCCGCCTTCACAGCCTCATTTTAACTTAATGACCTCCCTAAAGACCCGTCCCCGAGAAGCCACATTCTGAAGGAGTCGGGGTTAGGGCTTCCTCATAAGGACTTGGGGGGCACAATCCAGTCCGAGATCCTGGCTTCCGTGCTGTCTATCAGCAAGCCCTCTGTCGCCACTGCTTTACTGCCAATGGCGCCTTCTCCTGCCCACGGGGCTGGCCCTGGAGCAGCTCGTCGCTCCGGGAACCTTGCACACCGGCTTCCCTTTAACTTCATTTCTAGCTACGCCTGGAAGATCTGGAAGTTTTCTAGTAAATTTTGTAAGTGAGGCCTCAGGATGCCTGAGGCCATTCGCTTTCCTGTCTGTGATTCTACAAAGGTAGAACAATGGGCCCAGTCCAAAGAAAAGCTCTTGTTTCTTCACTTGTTTCTTCACTAACACCTGCGGGCCAGGCACCACCTGTGCCCTCCTAGAGCCTGAAGGTTGCAGAGACATGTTAAACCCGTGTCTACACAAACCAATATTATTATTCACAACAGGCGGGGGGCTAACAGAGGGCAAATCTGGGCACCTAAGCTAGATTCTGGGGTAAGGAAAGACCTTTTCGAGAATGTGCTATTGAAGCCAGAGGGTGAGCATGGAATGGAACCATCTTGACAGTTATGGAAAGGGCATTCCAGGTGGAGATACAACAGGAACACAAACTGTGAGGTGGGAAGGAGCTTGGCATTTTTGAGGAATTTTGTTTAAAATAAATATACACAGATTTTTTTAAAAAAATCTTTTTTTCTCAGAGCCTGAGGGACTTGGGTATCTCCACAACGTACTTTGGGAAACGCTGGTGGAGTCAGATGAGACTAGGTTTGGGATCCAATAAACCTTGATTTCATTCCTGCTCCCCTGGGAAACAGCTGTGTGGATGGAGGGGAGAGCTTAGCCTCTTGAAATTTTGTTAGTAAAGGGAAAGAAATAACTCACATTTTGCCACTTCTTGTAAATACTGGTAATCATTGGTAACAAGTCGGTAAAGGGGAATAGTTACTATCAGGAAGCAGCTTGGTACTCTGTTGACAGAGGAACCTGAGTTCAAATCGCACTTCTACCACTTCCCAGGCCTGTGATCTTGGTGCTGTTGCTTAAAGCTCTGTCCCAACGTGCTCTGATCTCTAAAAAAGGGAGTTCATAAGAGCACCCGTTGGGGATTGGTGTATGAATTAAACAAAACAGCAGCCGTCCAGCTTCAGGCAAAGGGTAGGCACCCAATAAATGGAAACTATCATTAAAGTGAATGCAAACTCTCAGAAAGCAGAGTTTGCCTGAATAATGTGTGATCCAACCCACTAACCCCCTTTTCCAGTGTAGACACAACTGCAAACAGCACTGCTTAGACACATCATCACAGTGGTTTAAAAAAAAAAAAAAACAAGTCTGCCTGTTTCTTTTCCATACTGGGAGGGCATACCATTCGTCCTAAATGCCAACAACCCACGTTTTAGGCAGCAGTAAAGTCTCCTAGCTGTGTCCACACAGTGAATCTCGTTTGGCTGTAAGTTAGCAGCAATAAATAACCTCGGCTCTGTGCTCCACTTAGGGAAGATGGGTTCCATTGTGAATCACGTCGGTGGCGGTTTGGACTTTAAGCTGTCCGGGTTGTTTATGGTGGTGTTTGCCAGCGTGTAGACCTCTTTCAAACAATTTAAGTGCTCTTTTGGAGTATATGAATGTGGCCAATAAAAATGGGTACAGGGAAATGGCTTCCTTTCTCTCTTCTATGGCCATGCACCCAAAGCAACCATATAAGACAATTGTCAAGTGTTAAATACATAATTGCTGAACATGAAATTATAATTAACATTGAAACCACCAGGGACGTTTTCCCTTTCCATTGTCAGGATGTTGTCCTGATCTTTGCCATCCTTTTAATTTATCTTTTGAAAGGATGACAACAGCTAGACAGTTTTTCAATCCTTATCATTTTTCATTACATATATTTTTCATTTTCATTGCTTTACTGAGCAGTGTGCCTTTAGAAGATTCTAGTTCGTTCCAATGACAGCAATAAATACTGGTTAGAGAACAGGCTTTGAAGTCAGACAGACCTAAGCCCGAAGGCTGCTCTCCCACTTGCCAACTATCTGACCTTGATTAAGTTTCTTAGCCAATCCAAGCCTCTGTTTCCTCATCAATAAATAGGAACAATGAGATCTACTGTCAGGTAGTTTTCCAAAGTGCAGAGCTTATAATGAGCACTTAATAAAATGGTAGGTATTATGACTGATTTTGCTTTCTTCTTCTTAATATCCACATCAAATGTTTTGAAATGCTATTTTATCCTTTTTTTTAATAAAAGGGGAAAACTTTTCTTAGCTGCACATCTGAATTGACAACTGATTTCTTTTCAACATTTGTTTAATGCAGCAACTAAAAAGCCTCTCTTCTACTTAGTTTTTTAAATTTCCAGAAGGGAAGAGTAATCAATTTTCCAAGACCTGATGACTACTTATTTCTAACACATAAGCAGAATTTTATGTATGTATTTTTTAAATTTATTCTACATCTAATTCCACAGCATTTTTAAGGTACTATACTATATGTGATGCAACAAAATCATAAAAGAAATGGAAATAATTAAAGAAATCTACATTTTATTGAGCACTTACTGTATGCAAGGGAACATTTGTGGAAGGTACTATTATTATCCTGATTTTGCAGATGTGGAAATTTAGATTCAGAAGAGGTAAGTCATTTCCTCCAATGTCACACAGCTAGTAAATGGCAGAGCCAAACTATTAACAAATAAGCCAAAGGAAAACAGAGAGAGAAGCTGGGTGAGGTGGCTCATGCCTGTAATCCTAGCACTCTGGGAGGCCGAGGCGGGAGGATGGCTTGAGCCCAGGGGTTTGAGGTTGCAGTGAGCTAGGCTGATGTCATGGCACTCTATCCGGAGCAACAGAGTGACACTCTGCCTCAAAAAAAAAAGAAAAGAAAAAGAAAAAAGAAAAGAAAATGGAGAGCGACTATGGAGAGAAGTTTACAGGTATAAACTGTAGCATTTTTCTTTTCTTTTTTTTTTGAGACAGAGTCTTACTCTGTTGCCCAGGCTAGAGTGAGTGTCATGGCATCAGCCTAGCTCACAGCAACCTCAATCTCCTGGGCTCAAGTGATCCTACTGCCTCACCCTCCCGAGTAGCTGGAGCATTCGCCACCATGCCACGCTCATTTTTTGTATATATATTTTTAGTTGGTCAATTAATTTCTTTCTATTTTTAGTAGAGACGGGGTCTCGCTCAGGCTGGTTTCGAACTCCTGACCTCGAGCAATCCGCCCACCTCGGCCTCCCAGAGTGCTAGGATTACAGGTGTAAGCCACCGCGCCGGCCTAAACTGTAGCCTTAAGAGGCTACAATTGTTTAAATTGGGCCACCAATTGACTCTGAGCTTCTTGGTAGGTGAAAGCAAAAATGCAAACATGATCCGTCCCAAAAATGCCCTTTTCCATAAGGAAAATGTATACTAGGGTTTAAGAATAAGCAAAGCCTCTCCTAAAGATGTTTCTTGCATGGCTTTTGGGATACAGTAGAGTACAGTAAAGATGACAGGAGGCTCCCATGATAGAACCAAATATTTAAAGCTGAAAGAAATCAGTCTTTCTGTAAAAAAAAAAAAAGTAAACCATTTCTCCCTGCAAAAATATGTTTTCCTTAACACTGGGCTTCATCTCTTTTTTGATAATTATTCAATCCAAGCATCATACTGAGAACAGATACATGTTAAAAAAGCAAGTGGAGGAAGGAAGAGGAGATAGCAGAGACTGCCTCTCTGCCTTATCATTTTTATTTAGATTGACATACCTTTGATTATAATTAGGGCTAACTGTTCAGCAGTTAAGACTCCATAATCCCATCATTAGTTGTCAAGAGATTTTCATAGGGCAAATTCTCATGCCATTTCTTTTATTTCTGTTTCTTAACTACTTGGGTAGCCTACAGTTGAAGAATGTGCTTTAAGGACAAGCTTTTCTGCTGCTATTGAAATCTTCTAAGCTGACACACAGTAAGGACACAAATGAAGCCTAGTGACAGTGTTCAAGCCACTCTTGCGAGGCTCTGTGTCTTCTTGCCAGACATTTTTGTTGTTCTTGTCCAAGATGTCCACCCTGTTTCTGCTGGTTTCATTCAACAGCCATTTTGCACACAGGGCCTGGTGAAGAGACCCCAAACCACTTCAAGGGTTGCCCGTAGAATAGAGAAAAATGAAACATTTTGAAAATTATTTCCAATTTGCTCACTCGGTTAGACACTCAAAGTTGGTGATCTAAGGTAGAGGTCAGTGTAGAAGATATTGGCTCTGGCACTGATTTAAAAGAGAAAAAAAAACTCATAGAAAAACTCTCCTCCAAATCGACAGCTGTAGGCAGTTGGTTGGTTTGTGTCATGAATGCATATATCACACATTTGAGACACATAGTTGATTTATGACAAGTTGTGCTTTAAAAGAGGAAGTTCAAAAGTTGAGACTTTCCAACGCATTGATTATGACCTGCATGCCATCTATATTTAAATGTTCCCACAAGACTATCAAGATTAATAACAGTATCACCTCCTTATTCTTCAAGAGTCTGATGAAAAGTCTCTTTGACAAACAATTAATGGTCCAACTGGTACGGATCCAACCAACATCAGGGACAATTAGTTCAATGGTTAAGGGTAAAGGCTCTCAAATCAAGGAGATACTGAGCATGGTGGCTCACACCTGTAATCCTAGCACTCTGAGCAGCCCAGGTGGGAGGATTGCTTGAGACCAGCCTGAGCAAGAGCAAGACCCCATCTCTACAAAAAACAGAAAAATTAGCTGGGCGTGGTGGCGTGTACCTGTAGCCCAGCTCAGCTGCCTGGGAGGCTGAGGCAGGAGGATCACTTGAGCCCAGGAGTTTGAGGTTGCAGTGAGCGATGATGATGCCACTGTACTCTAGCCTGGGTGACAGAGTGAGACCCTGTCTCAAAAAATAAGAAAGATGAAATCAAGAAAATATATATTCCAATTAAATACTGGAATATTCAGTTCTACTTACAATCATATGTATGTCACTTCAACTATCTGAATCTCAGTTTTTTTCTCTGTAATACTGGGTACCTCATTGGATTGTTGTTATGATTAATGGAAATAATGCATATGCATTGGGTCTAAAATTGACAGTCACGACCCTGATGTTGCTAGTATACAACTTTTAAATATTTTCATTGACTCTGTCACCATTTGGAAGCTCAGCCACTTAGTTCTATCTAGTTTATTTTGTGACCTCCCTTCCCAAGAGCAATTAGTCTTTGTCTCTGTTTTCAATGCTGGGAAAACTACATGGAAGAAAGGAATTAAGAAAGGACAAAAATATATTAGATAATGTTTTAAAACATCACCCGCCTACCCACATGAAGCTATGTCTGCCATATCAAAAGTTTTCAATACATTTAAGCAATTATCTGTATTTTATTCACGTTAAGAATTGAAATTTGTCCACCAGAATTTAAGGGTTTCTTCACACAGAGATTTCTCTTAGGAAAAGGTAAAATGAAGCACTAATGATGAAATTCAGCAATGTAGGTAGGTCAATTTGGATTTTCAAATTGTAAATCAGTTTGAAAACGTGAGCTGCAGGTTTCTCACAGGATTATACTGATGAAAATCATATCTCCATTGCTACTTTGCTTCTTTGTCGCTGTGGGGTTTTTTTTTAAATAACATTTTATATATTTTTAGCATTTATATTTCACTTTTTTTTTTTCATTTTCAACCAAACACCTTTAAGAAGTCCTAAATTGGGAGGCAGGTATCCTGACCCCATCATTTATTTACCATGAGAGCAAATTATTTAAACTCCTTCAGCTTCAACCTCATTATCTTTGGGGTACTAAAGATATATCTAGCCAATATATTTCAGAAAAGAATATATACACACACACACACACACACACACACACACGCCTAATTATTTTCCTCAAATAATCTCAATTACAATTAATACACTAACAAATAAAGCTCATATGTGTATATAATGCGCTTTGAAAAAATGTAAATTATTTCAAAATGGCAGACTGAATTATTCTTTGGAGTTGAAAGTACCAAATAGATGGCAAAACTTCTTGGTGTCCATTTGTGTTTCCTTGGACTATTTTTCCAGTCTCCTCTCTTGTCTGTACATGTTCTAAGTTGTCTCTTTCATAGAATTAGAGAAGTAGGAGTCCAGGTAAATCTATGTGTTTTTTCTTTTGTATTGTTTTAGTAATAAATACTTTAAAATCTCTATCCTTTTCGATGTTGGAAGAGATGGGCTTCAAATCATTATCTTCAGGGCTTCATTCATGCAACAAATATTTATCAAGTACCTACCACATGACAAACATTGAATTTTATGCTTGGGACTGTGCCATGATTGAAATGCACACAGCCCCCACCTTCCTGGAGTTTACACGGGCAGACACTAAACTAAAAACTACCTATATAACGTGTTCATAGACTGCAGTAAGTACCCTAAGGATAGCATAAAAGTCTGATAGGTGATCATCATGAAAGAATTTAGTTAAGTCCCATGAATATGAGAAGACACCTCTAAGAAAGTGACATTTCAATTGAGACTTCAAGGATACAAAGCCAGAAAGTGAGGGGGAAGAACATTCTAGGCAGAGGGAACAGCACCTGCCAAGACTCTGATGCATGCTTCAGGAGCTTTCAGAAGGCCAGTATTCCTGGGAGGTATCGTGAAGCAGCTACCTGGGACCCAGGTGAAGTCAGAGAGGTGGCAAGGCAGATGAGGCAGGAAGCTTTAGAAAAACAAATTTTTTTTTCTAAGTATAGTAAAGGTCATGGAAGGACTCTAAACTGGGAGGAATGATCAGAGTGATCACTCATTTTGATCCAATTTAAGATTTCATAAGCTCAATGTGTTTGCCATATAGAAAAGTGATTGGAAGGACACAGAGTGGGGACTACAGGAGAGAGACTGAGGTCATCCACGGAAGATACGCACCTCCGTTGGAGGTGCAGGTGGGAATCGCGTTTGGAGAGGAATTTTATGACTAGGTTGTGGTGATCCGCTGCACGTGGGAAGCAGCAAGGGCAACGTCAAGGATCTGGCCAATTTTCTGGCCAGAGCGATCGAGTCATCTGAGGCCCCATTTCGTGTGAAGAGGAGCCCTGGAGGGGGAACAGGATAGGGAGTGGGGATGCAAACGCCTGCTCTGGAAAGAGTTCCGTTGAGGTCGTTGTGAGACGTTCCCACAGACATGCCGCGAAGCCGGTTGCGTGTTTGGATCTGGGACTCACAGTCCTCGGCACTCGGACACTATTTCAAATTATGGAACTGGGAGGGGCTACCTTGAAAGGGCTTGTGTAGAGCAGGGGCCCCCACTGTTGCAGGCCCAGTTTTGACGTTTTAGGACAAGTATTTTACAACTGCCCTTTCACTATCCTGAAATAAAATCCATAGATCCCAAGAGCAGCCTACACACATGATTCCAAAAAGAAATTGCCTAAATATCGTGACTACACAATAAGGAAGAAAGGGAGGGCGTTCGGGCACAAGAAAGCACTAGAATAGGGCTTCTCAAACCTGATCATGCACAGGAATCACTCGAGCTTCCTGTTAGAGCGCAGATTCTGAACCAGCAGGTGGGAGTAGGCGTGGTCTCTGCATCTCCAACAAGTTCCCAGGTGACACCAGTGCTGCTGCTTTGTGTGCCATCCTCAGAGTAATGAGGTCTGGAAGACGTGACGAGGTAGTCAGGTGGGTGTCCCTACAGGGAGATTCACCACGAACAAGTCAGCAATAAATGCAGATCAATGCGAGTGGGTTGAATGGGCATCTTGAGTACCACAAATAGCGGTGCCAAAGGTGACTTGATTTTCTAAAACGGCAAATAACTCCCATTAAAATTCCAAATGAAACAAAGTGCGGCTTCTCTTTGTCAGATAAGCTTTATTTCTGGAAAATGCAGTGTGTGTTAAACTGTGCACAAAAGACTTTCTGTTTATGCATAAAATGGAGTTAAGTTCCAGCCTCAGATTATAAAAAGGTTTCGAACTAAGGACAATTTTTTTGCCATCCACCCCCAAGGGACATTTGACAATAATTTGACATAATTTAACAATGTCTAGAGACATTTTTGGTTGTCACAACTAGGGGGAAGGGGGTTGCTTCCAGAATCTGGAGCGTAGAGGCCAAGGATGCTGCTAAACATCCTACAATGCACGGGACAGTCTCCCACGACTAAGAATGATCTGGCCCAAAACATTAATAGTGCCAAGTTTGAGAAACTCTGACCTACAGAGAGAGTTTTCACAAATGGTGCAAGATGAGGGAGGTACCACCTCGTGTGGAACTGTCCCACACATTTGCACGGTGCCTCCCGCTCCCAGGCCCCACCCTTGCAGCAACCACAAAACACACCCTGAGGACAGCAGGGCAGGCTCAGAGCAGCTGCAAGACAGGACAGACAGGACCGGCTGTGGCCAGGAGAGCAGGAGGAGCCAACCAAAATGATTTGCCAGAGGACGAAAAAAAGTCTAGCATAACCAAATTAAAGTATATACAATTCTATGCATCTGCTGGTGCCTCTGTAATTAATACAAAAATAATTACATCCCTTCGCCTGGCTCTCCCTCACAAACTCTATTTAATGAATACCGCCAATGACTTTTTAGATATGTAATTAAAATTTTTATTTATTTCTGTTTTATTTTTATAGTAGTAGCTCAACATATTAGGGGGAGAAAAAAACATGCGGCAGCAAAGGTTGGCCTCAACCAGCATTCGAGAGGCAACTAACAGTATTTTGCTTCCTTTTCTTCCCGATCTATTCTGCGCAATTCATTCTGAACAATGAGAAATAATAACGCTAGTTTTCATTTCCCTTCCCTTCGCTTTTGAGTTTTAATTATCTGCCAGGATCTCATCTTTAGGCACAGAGGAAAATACCGTTTTTGTTCCTCTTTTAAGATGAAGAATAATTTTTTCTTAAAAAAAAATAGTATATTGTCCCCAAGTGGCCCAAGATTCGGGTATCCTCTTTAACACACATCTAGTACAGGAACACTGACCTCCCGGAGATTCCACCAGTTCCATCAATAGTGGTGGGCTATGCAGAGACTTCTCAAACAGAAAAAGCCTCACAGCCAGGTTTCAATAGAAGACATGGGTACCTGGAATTTAAAAGTAACTGTACTCAGATACTCTTGGGGAAATTCCTCTAACTTACTAATAATGCTCGTGTTTAACACTTTAAAATATTACCAAACCATTACAGGCCGTGTAAGAAACTGTGGCTTAAGAAACCAGATGCCTGAAGGCCTAATGGTTTCACTTCTCTTAAACCTCTGTCTCCTAGGTTAGAAAATGTGGACACTAGCACCTCCTGCACTGCATCACCGGGAAGTTGACAGGAGGTGAATCGCGAATTTAGCAGGGATAGCAGAGAATAAACACTCAGAAAATGTCAAATTGTCACAACAACAGGGGCCTCATCCTGAGGCCCCAAAAAAGCCAAATAACCTCAGCAAAGAATCACAGAAAGTCAATAATGAAATCAGGTCTGAGATCTTAGGAACTGAACCACTTCCTCTGTTTTTGCACAGAGGATCTGAATCTGTCACAAAGGTGTTTTCCAGAAAACAACACTTAAGTATATTTGCGAGTCTTTTGTAGGGAAAAAAAAGGATTATCAAACAAATCTGGCAAGCACTGGGTTAAGTAAAGGTATACTGTGTGTTTGGTTTGGTTTGAACAGCAGGACTTCCCAGAGTCTTTAATATGTTAACCAAGCAGGGGACTGTAATATACTAAAATCATTTTTTGCGATTTCTCCTTGCTCCCCTTCCTTCAACAAACTTTGCCCGAAGAGAAACCCAACCAAAAAAGTCTGGGTGTTAGTCAAATCTGGAGTCACTTCGAGAAAGTGATAAATGAGACAAAGTTCTATAAAGTTGGAATCACATTCATAACACAGTCAAGGAGAACAGGAGACCTGGTATCAAAGCACACCCTTCCGCCAGGACTGCACTGTCTCACAACGTCATGCTGTGGCAGTTTCTGGCCTCTCTTTCTCTTTCTTTGACCCCATCTCTCTTTGTCCAATCCTATGACCACCCTTCTTCAAGTTTCTAGATCTGCCAGGAGGTCCCAGCCAGGTCACAGCAAAGACTGCCAGGGACCCTTTTTTTCTCTCAAGTGCACACCTAATGCCAAAGGGAAACGGTCCCCTCCGCTGGGGGTGACCACAGTGTTCATCTGTAACCAGGTAGGCTGGTGCCTGGATAAGCCCGGAAGTTTCAGAGTGGGAAGGCCTAAATGTAAAGCCATCCCTTACTTTTTAATCAGACATGAGACCTTGGTCAATTCACTAATCTCTTCGAATCTTTTTCCTCTTTCATTTTTATTTATTTTGTTTGTTTGTTTATTTATTTAGAAACAGAGTCTCACTCTGCTGCCCAGCTTAGAGTGCTGGGGGTCCAGCCTAGCTCACAGCAACCTCAAACTCCCGGGTTGAAGCAATCCTCCTGCCTCAGCCTCTCAAGAAGCTGCGACTACAAGTGTGTGCGTGCTACCATGCCTGGCTAATTTTTTCTATTTTTGGTTGCCCAGCTAATTTCTTTCTATTTTTAGTAGAGACGAGGGTCTCACTCTTGCTAAGGCTGGTCTCAAACTCCTGACCTCAAGCAATCTTCCCGCCTCGGCCTCCCAGAGTCCTCTCTCATTTTTAAAATGAGACTGTGTCGAGAGTTATTGGTAATGTGTGTAAAATGACTGGAATTTGGTAGATATATATACAAATTGGTTGCTAATATTGCAGTCATATTCTTCCTTACCAAGAAATCATTTAAAATGCCTATTATGATTATTGTGTGCATGAGTTCTCTACACACATCAAATGTCATAACGATTTGTCTTTATTCTTCTACTAGAAATTTGGAAGCTTTCCTTTTCCAAAAAGACTAATTATATCTAAGTTCAAGGTGTTCTTTTCTCACTAAAATGAACACTACCGCTAACTAACAAGATGTAAACAAGGAACTCCACTCAGATTGGGCTGATGGGAATTACGTGCTTCCCACAGTCATCCAAATAGCAAAGTTTGGGGGGAAACTCACCCTGTTACTTTTAAGCAGCATTTCCCGCCCCCCCACAAAGATGCTCATATCTTTTAACAGGAATTCCACACTTATGAATTTTAAGCCTATGAAAATATTCCAGTGTATGGAAATGCTTTAAACATAAAGATGTTCATCACAGTGTTATATATTGTTGAATAAAATTGAAAGCAAATTAAATGCTCTATATTGTAAGAAGGGTTTAGTAAACTACGATCATGTATGTGATAAAACTCGCGTAGCTGTTTACAGAGACACTTTCCAGTGAGAAAACACAGAAAGGTGCATCATACAGCCCAGTACCTCCAACTACGTAAATCTAACAAAATGCATGGGGAGAGAAAAAACTAGAAGGAAATAGAAGAGAATGTGAATGGGAGCGTTTTCTAGATGGTGGGGCCAGAGGTTAATTTTTTTTTATTTTTTCAAAATGCTTTATAATGAAAAAATATACATTATACAGTTTTAGTTCTAATTGTGGTAAAATACACATAACATAACATTTATCATTTTAGCCATCTTTAAGTGCACGGTTCGGTGGTATTAAATACATTCACACTGTTGTGCACTCTAATGTCCACCTCTGGAATTTTTCATCTTACAAAACAAACTCTGTACCCATTAAGCAAGAATTCCCTTGCCCCCCACCAGTCCCTGGCAACCACCACACTTCTGTTTCTACATGCTTGAATTCTCTACATACCTCATATAGGTGAAAGCATACAGTATTTTTCTTTTTGTGACTGGCTGCTTTTCACTTAGCATAATGTCCTCAAGGTTCACCCAGGTTGTACCATGTGTCATAATTTCTTTCCTTTTTAAGGCTGAGTGATATTCCATTGCATGTACATACCACACTTGTTTATCCAGTTATCCATTCATGGACACTTGGGTTGCCTCTATGCCTTTGGGCTACTGCAAATAATGTTGCTATGAACATGGGTGTACAAATAAATACCTCTTGCATTTATTATATTTTAAATGTTTGGGTTTTTTTTCCTAAATTGGCTCCCCCTTCCTACATCGCATCATCTGGTTATATGAGACCCTAGACTGGGTTTAACTGCGACTCTACTCAAACATTAGTGCAAATGAAGTAGTAAAGGTGGGCAAATGACTTCCCGGGGGAAATAACCACATGGGCTATACCTCAGAAAATAATGCATCTTTTTCTGTTGTTCTGATTCCCATTACAGGACAAATGCCTTAGTTTCAACTTTCCAGCCTGGATGCCCCTCACTCTGAACCCTTCGTTGCACCACCCCGCTTCTGACATTGAACTCACTGAACTCCTGACACCCTGGCTCCAAGAAGACTACCAAAAAACAAAAAAACAAAAAAAAAATCACCCCAGCCATTTCTCTTCATCCTCACTAACAATTTGGTAATGAAGTATTGATTTCCACTTCTCTGCTTACGGATGATATTAGATTTTCATTGATAAACTGCAATGGGGCTGTCTTGTCTCTACTGTCCCCTTTTCACTGTCACAAGAAAACAAAGTGCCACTGAGGAAAAATAATGACTGAGAACCTTGATGTACTTATTTTGTCAGTTTCTAACAGGAAGGGGTGGGGGGAGTATACGCCTTCATAGTTTAATGTCCAAGTGGGCTGCACTAGATGCAGACACTTGGAAGCGTACTTTTCATGGTAATGTCCATTTCCTATTTATAAGCCCTCTGGGAACGTTTGTCTAAAGGAAATGTTTCTGTTCAGTGTAACAATTACGGTTGCACCTGGATTGCCCAGTCCTGCCCCTGCGCTAGGGAGCCATTAATCACTGCAAAGTAGAAGAATTATTAAGTTAAACCAGAGTTTGAGCCAAGAAAACCTCTGAACAATGTTCATCTTCTGTGAAAGTTGTTCAAGTAGTTAGGCTTAACCATGTTGCTGCCAAAGACTTTTTCTCATGCAGTGGTGGGCATCTGTATCAGCACCCTTATCTTGATTGGTTAAAAACAAAAATGGTCTTAAGCCTGCATCACTGTCCCATGAGACCTGCAAACTGGGAGAACTGGTAGGATGCAGGATCTGAGAGAAAACAAGAAGATGAGATCGTTGCAGGGTAGAAAGTTCAGCAGCAGCCTTTTCTGGTAATTTCTTTCTGCAGGATCTGTTGTTTATGGGCTCTAAAACGAAGCTTAGCTTTAGAAGCAACAGAAAGCATGAAATAGGGTGTCCATTTTAAATGTGTTCTTGCAACTTTTTTCATTAAAACTTTGAGGGCCCAATTTTAATTTGTGGAATATTCCCGTTAATAATGAGATCTAATTAAGACATCCATTAAAAGCCCGTTAAAGTTAATTTAACGTAAAAATTCCAATAGAACTGTATTAGATTTTCTCCATTAAATTAACGTTATGGATTTTTAACGGATGTCTTAATTATACGTTATTATTAACGGGAATACTGTATTACACAGATTAAAATCAGGTCCTAAGTCAACTTGAAAAAGCTAAGAGCATGTTTTAATATTAAAAGTCTTGCATACCTAGTGCACAGTTTGGAAATGGAGGGGTAGATCTGTTTACTCTAGTCGAGCATTTTCTATACAATTGAAAGCAACCTATAATAGATAAATCCATCATTGCATTTAAACAATGAATTTCCTTATTCTCAAAGGACAAATAAGTCTGGATTATGTTGTAAATTGCTACTCAGCTATAGGTGAAATATTTATGCTTATTCTAGGCACAACACTAGGAACTAGATGATTCTGAAACAAAAGAAATATTTTGTGTTGTTGCTTTAATTACCAAGGTTATAAAAAAAAAAATCTCAACACTGACAAAACGAAGCCAAATAGCTCCTCCTCATCGTTTCTCACAGAGGCTGCCTGTTGGAATTGTTTTGGAAATTTTGACATGATCCCTAAATTCAACTTTGGGATTTGAAAAAAAAAAAAAAAAACTTCTTATTTACCTCCTAGGGAAAGTGTTGCCCTTATGCCACATATAATAGCAAATTGCTTTTTTTATGGCATGCATAACCTAGATGGGAAAAAATATGGCGCTTCAGGGAAGGAGGGAAAAAGTAAATGAAGTTCCAGGAATGTCATTCTGAAGTAATGAGGCATGGACAGAAAATATACCCCTCACATCATCGGATTGAGATGGCAGTCGAAATAGCTTCATTGAAGTGTCAGCACTCATCCATCAATCAATCACCCACAAGGAAAAATAGCAACAGTACAACGGGGCGGCTTTTATGGGATTTACTCATGGGCATAGGGAATAGCGGCTCAAATGTAGTTCTGACATGAAAAGCAAGGTGCTGATATTATTTTTTATGATGGGAGGATCATAAAGTGAATTGAGAACAGCGAGGTCTGTCTTTGCTTAACCTATTCAACCAGAAATGAATGGAGCTCAACTGGAAAGGAACAGTCTTCGGATGGGTTAAGATTGAAGGGTGGACTCTACCGAGCTCTGTCCTTCAAACAACAAAATTCTATAAAAAGAAAATCAATGCGTTAGCATTGGGGTTCTTGAAGCTGTTAAAAATTGCCTGCTCCAATCCAGGGTTATTAGATAAAGTTACATAACTCAGACCCCACCACAACCGTCCAAGAGCAAATTCTCGAGCTCTTGCTCCAACTGGGGAGAAACAGTACAATTCTCAACTCCGTGGAAATTGTTTCCCTCTAAGAAAAAAAAATAATAAATCATCTGCTTCAACATATAATGTATATGGTTTTGTTAGTGCAATTTCTATGGTGGGGTAGGGTGGGAGGCAAGAGGCAAAAATATTGATGAATTTGGTAAGACTCATGAATCATCACTTGGCAACCATGAATGTCACTGCTGAGGGACAGCTGCCAACGTTCTCCTTAGGAAACCAGATCTGGGCTGGCACTGTGAGATACACACAGCTCTCAGTATATGCCTAGAGACCAGGCCTGTCTTCATTTGGCAAGCCCTGTGAGTCTTCTAGAAACTTCTTCCTAGAGGAAAAACACTAAATAACGTGAACTCAGGAGAATGTTTTTGATCCTCTTTCATACCATTGCTTTCCTTTGTCTCAATAAAACATAGTTCCGATTAGTTAGAACTTCAGAATCAGAAAGAAAGACAGAGAAGGATCATGCAAGCTATCCTCGAGCACCTCCATTCCACCTCCACCCCTTGGTGTCAGGGAGAGAGATGGCCTCTCCTTTCCCTGTCCTTCCTTCCAGCTAAGGCCACCAAACCAGCTGCAAATTGAAATGCCCATTTAAAAAATTATACATAAATATTTAAATGTTATACATTTGGCGCCCTTTTGGAGTTCAGCAAATCCCCCAAATATACAGCATGTTACAAACCCCTGGCAGCACAAGGCACAACAGGAAACATAATTTATTTAGCAAATTCATTGAACGAGTATAGCTGGGCCCCGATTGTGTGTGTGCACGACACTCTTCTAGGCGCCCTGGGATGCGACGGGGTGAACGCTTCACGGGACATCCCCGCTGCTCGTGTTCACGGCAGCTCCCAAAGGTAGCCGGCACCGAGACATCTGAGGGGCAGAGTTTACAAAGAGTCAAAATAACCATATTTCAGAATAAGGAATTTTTCCCTCTGAAAAGCATACAGGGAGGAAATAGCTTAAAAATAGGTCAAGACCTAAAAACAGAACATAATCATGGAATAAATTGGATAGCCCAGACAGTCCCCACAGACTTTCTTTCAGGTCACAAATAGATTTCTTAAAACTCACCCCCAAAATGTGCCTGCTCTATTGTTTGAATCTTGCATAATTAATCTCACATGTGCAAGCCGCTGAATTTAGTTGAAATGCAGAAAACAAACAAATGCAATGACCTATTTGGGAAGCATTTATGTAACTCTGGTTAAGTAGTGAGGAGGTGTGTGTGAAGACTCTGTGTGTGTGTGTGTGTGTGTGTATTCATATATGTGTGTGTGAATATATATATATATATACGAATTTCACTGTTATTTTCCAGGGTCTATGGACAGTGTGGCAGTAAGAGTCTATGATGTTCTGAAACTTTTCACTGTAAATCCAAAGATCACAGGCCTTACAAGGTGCTTTCATTCAGTTGCTTTTCTGTCTGTCACTTCCCAGGTTATTTGACTGTGTTCAAATCTTCTTTTCTTTTTCATAGAGTTTCATTTTTAAGCTTGTTACATGATTTTGTTAAAAAAAAAAAAACCATAAAAAATGTCATTTTCACATTATCCTCTTCTCTGCAACAAGAATAGTAATGTGTAGATGAATGCTAAAATAATAACAATAAGAAAATATATTGAAGGCTTTAAAACACACACATACACATATGTAGTTCTAAAGAGCAATAAAAGTAGTATCTATTTTGAACATGCATTAGGCAAAAAAAAAAAAAAAGAAAGAAAACCAAACTGAACTTTCAGTTTATTTTTTCCCCCGTGAGATGTTAAAATGCTAATTTCATTTTCTCCCTTCCTCTATGTGGCACTTTCTCAAAATATCTATGAAATACTTTTAGACAAAGATTGAGTTGGAGAAAGAGATACAAATTTCCATCCCCCAGACAGAGAAACATGTTTCCATTGTAGGAAAGCATTAAACGTTTTGAAACTTGTGAATCATCTTTAGAATTTCTACAGGGGAATTTTACCTCTTCATCCAAAGTAAAAGCCACTTATCTCCTTTGGTTCCCTGTGACAGATTCAGAGGCATACGCAGATACACAATTTCCAGGCTCTAGTTAATCTTCTTCCAATAGTTACGAACAATGGGCTAACGGGCGTGGGTGTTTCTCCAAAAATTATTCATGCACAAGGCAGCCCAAAGCTTCAGGGAAAACTAGAAATGTTTTATGGATTAGAATAGGACTGTTTTAAAATGCCGGTACCAGGTGGAACGCTATTTCTGCAACAGGACTCTGTCCATTTCCTTTGGAAAAATATATTCCAAGTAAAATGGCTCTTCCAAGGAGTGACACCTGACTTGATATCCTTCATCATACAAATGATTTTCCCAATAGCCACATGACTATCATTAAGGCCTTTTTAAATACAGGCTGTTTGAAAAAGACAGATCAAATACTCACATCCCTTTGTATCATGCTTATTTGCTTAAAACAGCTTTTGGAAGTACAAGTAATAACTTTCTGGTGAGAACCCCCAGGAGAAGTTGAAAAATTTGAACAAATGCATGACAAAAAAAAAATCTAACTGTTCCCTTAAACCACTTCAGAAGATAAATTTCAGTGTGTTCACTGAATTATCTTGAACCTCAAACCTACATTTGGATATCAGTCCCCAGGCACTGACTAATATTAGCAGAACTTGAACAATCATACGATTATGTCTCAAACGTGAAGACTTTGTACAGCAATATTTTTACTTTCTAAATGACCCATATAACATTCAGGAATTATCAATGTGTATGTATATTTTTTAAGTACACAAAGTTCAACCAGTCTGCAGAGAAGTAAAAACAGTGCCCAGTCTGCAGAGAAGTAAAAACAGTGCCCGGTCTGCACTGAGATATATACTACAGAAACATTCCAGTTTTACAATACAATATTTTGGCTTTATGACACATCACATGCTACAATGTGCCATGCAAGTCAATAAAGCTGACATACGAAACAATTCTCATTTGGCTCAGGGTTCTTAAATGCCATAATATCCTAGGTTACAATATACTTTTTGGTCTCTGATGATATCCTTCTAATCCCTTCCAACTTTAATTCCTAACAACCAAGCACTGTTGGCATGCATCATAAAGTTCCAAACCCCTTTAAAATCAAGAAGATAGTTGATTTTTCATGGTCCACCAATTCTTGCTCTGCAGAGCTCTTGTAACTTTTTGGGGAATCTGGTATCAAACACATTTTACCTTATGTTACATTTGGTACCTTGCATTAATTCTAGATTTTTTTTTTTTTTTTGCTTGTTTCTTTTAGAAAGGACAGAGTGAGGGGAATGGGTCAGAGTGAGTTTCGAGGATTAGATTCATCCTTGCTCCGGAAAGTGTTTATTTGCCAGTGAAGAAAGGCAAACACATTTTTATATTGGGAAAGTAGACCAGTTATTTTCAAAGAAAAATGACTGCGACCATACCTGTAGAATGTTTCTGTCCAAGCGCACTAATTTTCTATCGCCTGCATGCTGTATATAATCCATTTGCCTGTATACTAGGAAGAAAAACCAGGCTGTTTTCCTTGAGTACAATGCAGCTTGGATGGCTGGGACCGTATGACTTCCGTGCATTTTTATACTGTACATATTTGTATATACTAACTATATCACCATGTATGAACACAGATTTTGTTATATTTGCTTGTTTCTGTTTCCTACCAAACTGGCCCACAATGGGGATTCTTTTGTATAGAAAAAAATATGCTTGTAGCTTTTTTTCTGATCATCCTCTTTCAATAGCTTATGAAAGAATTAGGTCTGAGTTTACAAAGAAATTATAAGAACCAAGCTTGTCTGTCTGCATGAGACCCGTCCAATTGCTGGATCCAGGGAGGAACCAACGTCCTAATTCAGAGTTTTCCTTTAAAGGCATGCTTTACCCCGTGGGAAAACTGCAAACTCATCCATGTAGAATTATCCTCTTTGTATTTTATCTAATAGTGCCTGAAAAAAAAAATTTTTTAATGTCTTCTTAGAGGAAGAATTCATAATTGTCAAAATTTGAAACATTAGCTTAATTTTGTTTTTATGACCTCGAGATTCTTCTCCGTATTTATTCGGTTGCTGTTGTAATGGGGCCCCAGGCCATTCCTGACATCGGCGTGTTCTTCTTCTGCATTAAGGATGTTTTTAAAATTACAGAGATTATTGAGCCAACAGGCTGTTTTAATCAAAACCATGTTTCACTTGTTTTTGATGATTATAAATTGTCCTTGCAATGAAAAAAAAAAAAAAAAAAACTTTTCTGCTAGGAAGATTATACCACCCTGTGGCCAAACAGATTCATCACAGATCAGCATCTGTGCCCACTTCTCTGGGATCTGGAACATTCTTCCCTTGGCTGGCCACAATTGCTTTTACTTCTCATCATCCTGAATATTAGTTCTCGATGCAGTCACTACTCGCAAATTTCCAGAGGCTTTGCTGCGTTGTCACAGCCCAAAGACAAACAGCCCCGCCGGAGGGGATGGCTTCCCAGCTGGGGGGAAAAAAACGAACGGATTTTCAGAAAAGGTGCTTCTTCTTTTGTCCCTCGGTGCCACCATCCTGTCATCCCTCCTAATTACGAACAATCTGGTCCTGATATCCCATATAACTGAAACCAGGTAAAAGACACACTCAGATCAGCGCCTTGCTGAATAAAAACGACTCTGCGTGGATGCACTTAAGATGTATACCTTGCATGATGCCGCAGCACTGAAATTATCTGTAGAAGGAGAGGGGTTCTTTTCTATACGATTTTATCACTGGAAATAAATTCTGATAGTAGAGATGAAGAAAACCCTTAAATTATATCACAAAAGCCATTATTTTTTACATCTAAAGTTTTTTTTTTTTTTAAGGAAAATCATTCTACTTTGAAACTGTAATTAAAGCCCTAAATAACAGACACGACTTCTTTTAGCTATTGTGAAAAAATAACAACACGCTCGCCAAGGTTGTGAGGAGCCCCCGCATTTCCATCAGAAAGGTTTCTATAAGTACATTATTTACATTTTTAAACATAACTCTTTCCTTTGTGGTGAAAAAAAGTCTTTTTTTTCTTTCCCA